TTTATATGGAACCAGAAAAGACTGCGAATAGCCAACGGAATATTGAAAAAGAAAGCCAAAGTTGGTGGCACCACAATTCCAGACTTCAAGCTCTACTACAAAGCTGTCATCATCAAGACAGCATGGTACTGGCACAAAAACAGACACATAGATCAATGGAACAGAATAGAGAGCCCAGAAATATACCCTCAACTCTATGGTCAACTAATCTTCGACAAAGCAGGAAAGAATGTCCAATGGAAAAAAGACAGCCTCTTCAATAAATGGTGTTGGGAAAATTGGACAGCCACATGCAGAAAAATGAAATTGGACTATTTCCTTATAGCACACATGAAAATAGACTCAAAATGGATGAAGGACCTCAATGTGAGAAAGGAATCCATCAAAATCCTTGAGAGAACACAGGCAGCAACCTCTTTGACCTCAACCGCAGCAACATGTTCCTAGGAACATTGCCAACGGCAAGGGAAGCAAGGGCAAAAATGAACTATTGGGATTTAATCAAGATCAAAAGCTTTTGCACAGCAAAGGAAACAGTTAACAAAACCAAAAGACAACTGACAGAATGGGAGAAGATATTTGCAAACGACATATCAGATAAAGGGCTAGTGTCCAGAATCTATAAAGAACTTAGCAAACTCAACATCCAAAGAACAAAGAATCCAATCAAGAAATGGGCAGAAGACATGAACAGACATTTCTGCAAAGAAGACATCCAGATGGTCAACAGACACATGAAAAAGTGCTCCATATCACTCAGCATCAGGGAAATACAAATCAAAACCACAATGAGATACCACCTCACACCAGTCAGAATGGCTAAAATTAACAAGTCAGGAAATGACAGATGCTGGCGAGGATGCGGAGAAAGGGGAACCCTCCTACACTGTTGGTGGGAATGCAAGCTGGTGCAACCACTCTGGAAAACAGCATGGAGGTTCCTCAAAATGTTGAAAATAGAACTACCCTATGACCCAGCAATTGCACTGCTGGGTATTTACCCTAAAGATACAAACGTAGTGATCCGAAGGGGCACATGCACCCGAATGTTTATAGCAGCAATGTCTATAATAGCCAAACTATGGAAAGAACCTAGATGTCCATCAACAGACGAATGGATAAAGAAGATGTATATATACACAATGGGATACTATGCAGCCATCAAAGGAAATGAAATCTTGCCATTTGCGACGACGTGGATGGAACTAGAGGGTATCATGCTTAGCGAAATAAGTCAATGGGAGAAAGACAACTATCATATGATCTCCCTGATATGAGGGAGAGGAGATGCAACATGGGGGTTAAGGGGGTAGGAGAAGAGTAAATGCAGCAAGATGGGATTGGGAGGGAGACAAACCATAAGTGACTCTCAATCTCACAAAACAAACTGAGGTTTGCTGGGGGGAGGGGGGTTGGGGGGGTGGGGTTATGGAATTGAGTAGGGTATGTGCTATGGTGAGTGCGGTGAAGTGTGTAAACCTGGTGATTCACAGACCTGTACCCCTGGGGGAAAAATATATGATATGTTTATAAAAAATAAAATTAAAAAAAAAATAAAATAAAACATAAAACCCCTAATAACCTGACTAAAAAGTGAGTTTAAGACTTCAATAGACACTTCTCCTAAAATGCCATACTAATGGCCAATAGGCATATGAAAATATGGTCAATATCACTAATCATGGGGCGACTAGGGGCTCGGTTGATTGGGTGTCTGCCTTTGGCTCAGGTCATGGTCCTGGGAGCCTGCAATTGAGCCTGATGTAGGGCTCCCTACTTAGTGGAGAGTCTGGTTCTCTCTCTCTCTCCTGTCCTTCACCCTCAGCTCATGCTTTCTCATGTGTGTGCTCTCTTTCTTTCAAATAAATAAATAAAATCTTAAAAAAAAATCACTAATCATCAGGAAAATGCAAATCAAAACCACAATGAGGTATCACCTATTAGAATGGCTATTATTAAAAAAAAATAAGTCAACAAGTGTTGGCAAGGGTGTAGAAGAATTGTCCGCTGTTGGTGAGAATGCAAAATATTGCATCCAGTATGCAAAACTGTTGACCATTTCTCAAAAAAATTAAAAATAGAACTTCAATATGATCCAGTAATCCTACTTCTGGATATTTTCCCTGAAGAACTGAAATCAGGATCTCAAAGTGTTATTAGCATTCTCATGTTCATTGTAACACTATTTACAATAGTTAAGATGTGAATACAAACTAAATGTTCACCAGCTGATGAATGGGTATAGAAAATGTGGCATACGCATAAAATAGAATGTTGCTCCATCAGAAAAAAGAAGGAAATACTGCATATGTGACAACACAGGTGAATCTTGAGCACATTATACTAAGTAAAAAATAAGCTGGTGATAGAAGGACAAATAACTTTATGATTCCACTTAGATCCCAGGTGAACTATCTAAAACAGTGAAACTCATAGGAATGGAGAGTAGAATGGTGGTCACCTCAGTCTGGGAGGAAGGCATAATGGGTGTTGTTAATCAAGGAGAATAAAGTCTCAGTTATGCACAATGAATAAGCTCTAGAGATCTGATATACAACATTGTCCCTATTATTAACAATACTTAGAAATCTGTTAAGAAATCTTTAAGTGTTGTTACCACAATACAATAAAATTTTTAAAAATTTAAGATGTTTTGCTTCCCAAAAGACTTATTAAAGGGAAAAAGGAAGCTACAGTGTAGAAGATTTTTGTAACACATATTTCCAAAAAAGGACTTATATTCAGAATAGATACAAATTACTTACAAATCAATAACAAAAGGTGGGAGGATCTAATAGGCAAATAATTTTTTGCCTAATAGGTTAGAGGCTTCACAAAAGATAATAATGAAGGGGCTCAAAACATGAAAAGTTCTCAACATCATTATCAGAAAAAGACAAATTAAAAGAAATGTGAGTCTCCTAAACCCCTATAAAAGGGCTAAAATTAAAAGAACTGACAACATCAAGGGTTGCCGAGATTAGCAAACAATTAAGACTCTGATACATTGCTGGTAGGACTATATATTGGTACAGCACCCTTGTTATCACTGTTAAGTCATCTAGCATCTATTAGGTTTCAATTAAATTTTTATTATATTTTTTAAAGACTTATTTATTTTAGAGAGAGAGGAAGAGAGTGAGAAGAGGGGCAGAGGGAGAGGGAGAGAATTCCTTGCAGATTCCCCACTGAGCATGGAGCTGACTCAGGGCTCAGTCTCACCACCCTGAGATCATGACCTGAGCCAAAACCAAGAATCAGCCATTCAACTGACTGAACCACGCAGGTGCTCCAGTTTCAATAAAATTTATAAATCTTATTTTCATTTTTAAAACTGCATTTATCATACTTAAGTTTTATATTTACTTTCTATTATAATTGATACTTATTTTCCAGAATTTTGACAAAGATAATTCTGCATGCATTTTCAGTCTAATTAGCAAAAATATTTTCCTTCCCTTTCCAATTAACTTGAAGCTGATTTTCTTTACTTCTCCCTTTGCTATGCCTTTAAATCTTACCATCTTCTCTTCCACCACAGTAATCTAGGTGTATGTAGGTTTCTGTATATTTAACATAAACTCAATCAAAATATTTTTTATATACATGGATAGGGAGAATTGAGAAAAAGATTCTGAAATTCATATGAAAAGAAAATAATGATATCCAGATAAACTTTAGTATTAACCAACAATGAATAAAATACAGAGCTTTTGATTTTTCAAAAAACATCTTTCAGATTTTTAATGTAGTATCAAATATTAATTAAAATATCCCAGATACTTTGGTAGATATACATATTATGAAGTTTCTTATAATCACAATATCTAAAGAAAATTTCCATTAACAATATAGATGCATATCTTCTTAAATGTTTTTCTAAACAAAACAATAAAAACACTTTTTTTAATTTAAAAAGCATTATGTACAAGTTTACATATCTTAAAATATAGGCCCATGTCATAATTTTGTGACATATCACATTCAATTTATTTATTTATTATATATTTTTAGTATTCAATTTAAAAATGAAAAATAATTCATCTTAAAAAACCTATTACTATGAATATTTAGACTACTTCCAGTTTTTCATTGTTGCAAAGAGCCCATAGTAAACATCATTAGATAAACATTTTAGAGCACAATTGTTCAATTATAGTCTTCGGTTAAATCCCAGAAAAGAAAGTGCCCAAATCTAGCCTTGATTGTCCTTTCTTAATTCATTCAATAAATTATGTGTATGTGAGTGTGTGAACCATTCTGCATCTTATTACAATTATAACCAGAAATAAGTATTCATTTAAAAATACAGGTATGTAAAAGAATGAAATAATCATTAATATTAGCACTGAGGATGATCATTGCTAAAATATTTTAATATACAGGGGCGCCTGGGTGGCTCAGTGGGTTAAGCCTCTGCCTTCAGCTCAGGTCATGATCTCAGGGTCCTGGGATTGAGCCCCACATTGGGCTCTCTGCTCAGCAGGGAGCCTGCTTCCCCCTCTCTCTCTGCCTGCCTCTCGGCCTACTTGTGATCTCTCTGTCAAGTAAATAAATAAAATCATTAAAAAAATCTTTTAAAAAATATTTTAATATACAGATGTACACACATGGGTGTGTGCATGTATACTGGTGTTTTTATGTTTTACTTAGAATTACCACATTTTTTCTTTTTTATTCTAAATTAAAATTTTCATATACTTAGAATAGAAATCACAAGGCACCTAGTTTTAGTGACCTAAGTAGTTTCCAAATATAGACAAATGAACAGGTTAGGGAATTTTAGGAAGCCACTCCTATTACAAAACTAAGAATATTTGCTGTTGAGGTAACAGATAATTGTTTATTCTGGAATTAATTTTTATTTTCCTGATCCTTTCTCTTCAGTTAACCATGCCCTTTAAATCACCTATATTAGTGCTAAAAACAAAACAAAACAAACAACAAAAAAACCCAATACTGGCACTTTGTGTTGTGTTTTATTTTGTTTTCTCTTACAGCAACAGTCTCTAACAACTTTGGCCTGGAAGAAGGATATTGCCAAATAAATCATCAGAAACTGACCTAAACCATGAAGGGAAAGATAATTTCACCCTCATCTCTGTTGTTACTGCTGAGGGTTCAAAATATGAAATAATAAATCATCTGCACTTGAATCACCTAAATTATGTCTGATGTTTTCTCTGTATTTTCAGTCTCAACTTCCACCCTATCTACTGCAATTTGAATCCAGAAAAGGCTCTGAATCAGGTGAAAGCAGCTTAAGACCTCATCTCGTGATGCCAAGAGGGGCTGCTAGTTCAGTCTCATGACCCAAAGATAGATTGTCCCATTTTCCCTTATGCTCCTTAGGTTGACCTGAATCTTCTTCCCTTGGTCCAACCTCCCTCCTTCTCTTCAGAGCTCCTAGCTTTTGGCTAGCCTGTGACTCGCAGCAGTGGTATTTACTCAATCTCCTCTTGTTACTGCTTCTCCTCTTTGAAAACTGTATATCCACTTCAGCCTCTTGAGACACCTGTTTACCAAGAGTATATTTATCTTGGAGCTAAGGAAGCAAAAGCATCAGGGCCACTTACTTGAACAGAGTTCTTTTCAAAGTCAGGACCTTAAATTTTATATTCTTTTTCTTAGAGAGCATTCATCAAGTTTTATATAGTTTGGGACCTACAGAACCTGGATCTTCCTCTTGACCAGCAACCTTGGCAGTGGTATGCTGGAGCCAGTTCATACCAGCTGGCAAGAAATGTTGCTCTCATTAAAAAAAATAGACAAGTTTTGGTGAAGGTGTGGAGAAATTGGAACTGTTGCACACTGTTGTTGGGAATGCAAAATGGTGAAGCTGTTATAGAAAAATTATGATAGTTCCTCATAAAATCAGAACTCATAAAACTACCATATGTTCCATCAAAGATAGAGTAGAAATGTCTTGCAGGAAAATTATTTTTCTTTTGGATTTGAAAAGGAGATAGATGTACAGCTAGGAGGGTGCTGTTGAAATAAAATGTTTTGTCTCCTGGAGAAAACTTCTCTGTTACTCATAATTCCATACAAACTTTGTGAAGGGTCAGTGAAAATTTGGAAATCATGCAATTGTGTAATACTTTGAGGCTATCTATTCCTATTTAGGAAATGCAAGCCTTAGTAATTCTGTATCAGTCAAAATACGTGCTGTTATGCTGATACACCGACGTATAAACTCTTCATTTAGTAATAGTGTAAATTCTCAGAAATCAAAATGTAACACCATTTCCTCATGGCTTAGAGTCAATTGCAGGCAGGTTTTGATACCTGACAGTTTTCTGTAATTACTCTGGAAAAATAATCACTTACCTCTACAGTGTTAAATTCTATGATGATTTATGTCATCATGTGCAGGTACAGTATTTTTTCTGGGCAGCAGAGTCTGTCTTCTATTTGATGACTAGCCCTCCAGGCTTCTTCAGTCTTGCAGCTCTGTATTCCTAACACATGATTCCATAATTGCCAACAAAACTGAAGGAAAGGTGGAAAACACATACCTGTCCACTAACTGGCAGTAATAACAAATAATTCACTCTCATGGCACATTGGCTCAATTGAGTCATACAACCCTAACTTCAAAGGAGGCTGGGAAACATCAGGAGAACTTGTGGAATATTTGGTGAGATACTGTCCCTACCACATATAAGATGGAAAAAACAAAACGAAACAAAACAAAAACTAAGGTGGTCACATCTGTGACTCAACATAAGCCTGCCATAGTTCCCATAATGGAAGACCTTCTAAAGCACTCTATGACAAGGCTGTGGTCATTGATTTGGTTAAGCCTTCCCTCTTCTCCCCTCACTTACAGGTCCTCACAGAATCAGTTTGCTAGTTTCTGAGTTGGATGCTAAACAAATTTCTGAGGTACACTGACATTTGAAAAGTGCCATTGCCGCACTGACACGGCCTATAGCCATTTCTAAAAGTTGGACACCCTGGGCGCACATAAATACATGCAAAATTTGAGTGTCGTAAGTGATAGCCACAAGAATGTTCCTTGAAATCTTCCTATTACAAGCATCATGAGTGATAAAAGTTCTGAGCTGTTGCACATTTTTATTGCCACCTTGCCCATGATTGTAACCAATGGTAGAATCTTGATAGAGATACAAAGAAAGGCAATCCTGTATGACTCAGGACCCCTCTGACAGTTGCCTCTACCTTAAGACCTCCCCAACAGTCCTGCTGAAACTTTCCTACATTGAATAGATCCTCCTTAAACTGTGTGAGTCCTAGGCTGCTGCTATTCAATTTTCTCTCCCTCTCCCCTTCCCTGGGAGTTAGACTGACTGCACTCTCAGCCAGCTTTCTCAGCCTTTTCATATTTATCCCCATTTTTCACAGTGGCTTTCCTCCTAATAAAATCAATGCACGTTAGTCCTCTCCTGGCATCTGCTTCTCAGAAGATCCAGATTAAAACAAGTAATACTGAAAGTGTTATAAGTAAATTGGTTGTAAGATGTGGATTTGCCTTGGAAGCAAGGAGAACAGGATGCTTGTCAGGAAAAAGGGTGCAGACAATCCCTACCACAAGGTAGCAGTACAAGTCTAAACATTTTATAGGAAGAAGGAAAACTTGCCCACTAGAGGAGAATGTGGTGGTAGAGATGCAATCAAACAGGAATTAAAGTCAGTGGAGTAAGCTGATTACTGCTGAGTTTTGTTGATGCCCTGTAGAAGGATGATAAGAGATCAAGGGCTGTTGCCAAGCAGTTACTGCCTATGCTTGTGAGCCATAGAGTCTCAGTGGTACTTAAAAGAGGCCTTTATCAGCCACTGTTACATGTCAGACAAAGGTGAATGGCAGGCAGAGAATCTATTCGTTACACTTGCAAGTTCCAGAGACATCTAAATATTTAGCAAAAGGAGCTCTGTTAGGCTAAGGTCAGGGCACTGTGGGAAAAACCCAAGACCCTGAAAACATGAAGGAGGAGCGCTTGATGTATGACACTGAAGATGCTAATTCTCTTACACCCACCTCCTCTGCTCAGTGATTGGAAGCCACTGTGCTTGAAAAAGCTACAGTTTCCTCCCCACAAGGCGATAGGTGCCTCTACCTCTATCTGTAGGCGTTTCCCATCTCTTCTGACTCCCAGGCCAATAATTAGGATGAAATCCTATCTTAACACAGATGGTGATGTGCTGGCCAGGGGGTAGTGCTTAACTGCCAGAATCCAAGAGGCCATAATTACCATTGTGATCAGGATGGGTGGAGGAGCAGCCAAGGGGACTTGACCCACAGGTAGTTTTGCAGACAGTAAATAGAGAACTGAGGCTTTTTAGAGGCAAAATAGATTGCCAGCCAACTAGGGAGTTGCTTACATCAATAATGAAGAGAAAGAAAGAATAGCAGGAGACCAAGGATTGTCTCCCCAGTAAAAAATCACAATCCCTGAAGATGGCAGAGGAGTAGGGGACCCTATTTCAACCAGTCCACTGAATTGAGCTATATATCTGCCAGACTACTCTGAACACCCATGAAATCAGCCTGAGATGTAAGAAGATATATCAGGGTCTATACCAACAGAATATCCCCAGCAGCCAGTTTCAAGGTATGAAGTGGGGATCTGCGATTCTGCTGGAAGATATCGAAAATAAATGGAAGGGGGAGGGAGCCACCATAAGTGCTGTCACCAGGAAGGTGAAATTACACAAGAGCACAAATGTGTCCCATGCTGGGGCCTGGGCACAGACTCATAGACTGGTAGCCACGGGGAAGGGACTTTAGGGCAGCCTCCCAGGGTGAAACGTGGAGCTGCAGGGGTGCATGTGTGAACTGGGGGTGGATGGCAGTTTTAGAAGCACAAGGGGCAGAGACATGCCTGGACCTGAAAACAAGGGCTGGGAGTGCTGCTGTGGGGCACACAACCCAGGCTACTGCAGTTTTTAGCAGCACAGACAAAAATGGAGTCAATTTCACCTGGAGGGGCTTCTGGAGAACCATCTGTGAGCTTTCTGTTCTGAGACAGAAGTTTGGACACAGTCACTTCTGCTCTGACTCTTGGAAGGGACACAGAAACCCACCAGGGAAAGCTGTCAGCGAACAAAAGCCCCCCCCCCCCAAACCAGTTTATACTGAGCCTATCCCTCACCACAGGGGCAAGGCAACTCTGCCCAAACAGGGTTGCCTGAGTAACAGCTTGGCAGGCCCCTCCCCCCAGAAGATAGGCTGAAAGAACAAGAGGCCAAGAACTATAAAGTCCCTATAAAACAGGTGCATCTTGCTTGGATTGTGGTCTGTAGCTTGGACTCTGTACATTCCCTCAACCACCTCTCACCAGAATGACTAGGAGGAGGAACCCCCAACAGAAGAAAAATTCAGAGACTGTGACAGAACTATTGGATATGGACATAAGCAAGATGTCAGAAATAGAATTTAGGATAACAGTTATCCAGACAATGGCTAGGTTGGAGAAAACCGTTAGTGGAAACATAGGATCTCTAAGGGCAGAAGTGAGAGTGGATCTGGCAGAACTTAAAAATGCTATCAACAAGATCCAATCTAATCTAAATACAGTAGGGTAAATGGGACAGAAGATAGAATAAGTGATCTAGAAGACAAACTGATAGAAAAGAAGGATCAGGAGGAGGCCTGGAACAAACAACTTAGAATGCATGAAAACAGAATTAGGGAAATAAATGATGCCATGAAACATTCCAATGATCCCTGAGGGGGTGGAGAGAGAGAGAGAGGACTAGAAGATACAGTTGGAAAAGTCCTAGATGAGAATTTCCCTAATCTGGGGAATGGAACAAGTGTTCGTGTCCTAGAGGCAGAGAGGACACCCCTCAAGATCAATGAGACTACAAAGACCACCAGACATGTGATTGTGAAATTCACGAATCTGTAAATTCAGAGAAAATGTCTTAAAGGCAGCTAGGGGAAGAGATTCCTTACATACAGAGGGAGGAACATCAGAATAATGTCAGATCTGTCCACAGAAACCTGGCAAGCCAGAAAGGGCTGGCAAGACATATTTAGGGCACTAAATGAGAAGAACATGCAGCCAAGAATACTTTATCTGGCAAGGCTGACATTCAGAATGGATGGAAGGATAAAGAGCTTCCAAGACCAACAAAGACTAAAAGATTATGTGACTACCAAGCCAGCACTACAGGAAATATTAAGGGG